AGACGCATTTGACTAGTGATTCAATGAATGGAAAAAAATTTAATAGAATCATCTGCTTTGCGCTCATCAACAGCTCCTTGTATGACATTTGTTCTTTCCATTATATTGCAACATGTATAAGAGTACGTCATTAACATATCCTTCTAATATTCTATTACAACAAGGTGGACCCCTCTTTAAACAACATTCACCTTGAGCCGAAGGTCCGTATGAGAAAAACAGGCATGCATCTCAAGCAGAACTCCAAGGTTATATGCACACCATAAATAAATCACCACACACACTGCCAACGCAAGTTGTTACCACGAAGAAAATAAAAGTGAGGTTTCAGAGAAAGGGAATAATTCTTGGTGTTGTATTGTCCATGTTCGGCTATCCTTGAACCTTGGCATGGCTTGTCACTTGAGAGGTGTGGTTTGAGCGATTGACCAAGATGGTACACAGTTTATTATTGTACAATGGCCTACGTTTCGGCGCTGTCGCCTTCGTCAGAGCCTGGAAGTCGAACTCATCAGAATCTATTCCCTCAGACGTCAACAAAGGACACAGAGTACTATTCGAGAAAAAGCCAAAGAAAACCCAGTCAGAGCAACAAGAGCAATATTAACCTTAGCCAGAAGCAAAGCGGAAGTCGAGAGACCGCCGTGTATGCAAGACTATGCCTCAGCTCTACTTATATATGCCGTTGTGACCTGACCTCATATTCAAATCCGGATAGGGATTGATATGGCGCCAGTTCTTTAGTGATAGCGATACACTCCCCCTTTCTATTCATTTTTGGATTTCTGGCGTTTATCCAAAACGCTTCCAACGTTTTGCGCGCAAGGATCTCGGGTTCGAACGACAAGATTTGCACCGCAATTTGGATTTCAGCTTTATCATGGCGCACTATACGATGCTTGCCCAATGGAGTGGCTGCTTTTAACTTATTTAAGCCGTCTATATGTTCTTTAACGAGACAACAGAGAGGGCGGCCCGTTTCACCAATATATATCGCCGCATGCTAAACATGTGATAAGATATACAATACCGGATAGCATGCAATTACTCTCCCTATCAAATGGGCACACCACGCAGTTAGGAGTTGGACAGAAGCGATCGTAAGCACGGTTTCGAACCAATCGCTGTTTGAGATTTGCGGGGGGAATATCGACTACCCTAACAACGCCTTGCAGACCCGCCTGATATACGCACCGCCGCACTGCGCTGCTCAGCTCATCAGAGATGAATGGCAGGCAGAACGGAATTTCCGCGGTACTGCTCGAATTGCGAGCTCTGCCCCGAGAGCACCAATGTGCGCCCAGGGTGTGCTCCCGAGCAGCATAGCCGTTGGAGGCCGCGATTCCCCGAGCGACGGCGATGGACCATGATCGTTCTGCGCTGCCGGAGGATACTTGAACAGCTGTTTTGTACATGTTACCCACAATAGCCCTCTTCTCCTATTTGGATGCGCGGACAAAGAATATATGAGGATGTTTTTGTTACTGGGCTTGCGATACCATTTTGTTTTGTACCCTCCGCCTGCAAGCTGAATTTGCACGTTTAGAAACGCTGACCATTCCCCGGAGGGCTTTTCCCTAGTGAATACGATGTTTGGCGACTGTTGATTTAGTATGCTAAAGCAAGTGTCTACCTCCGCTTGGGTGGGACATATGACGCAACAGTCGTCTATATACCGACCATACAAAAGGGGTTTACGCTCCAATACCGGCGCTTCTATTTTAGACATGAAAATGATAGCTAAAGTAGGTGCAAGTCGCTGTCCCATAGCTAAGCCCCTGACCTGTTTGTAGTACTGACCCGACCATCGGAACACCGTACAGCGTAAGCATTCGCAAAGAAGGGTCATGATGTTGCCAATACTGAGATCGTGTAAGGCAAGAGCGGCCTGATGCTCCGAAAGAAGCTCGTAGGTAGCCTGATGTGCAGCATCATTTGAGACGTTTGTATACAGCGACGTGACGTCAAATGACTCGATGGCGCAGTCCCGGGTGAGTTGCGTGGATCGTAGCCGTTTGAGAAGCATATTAGTGTTACTAAGATGCGCAGGAATATATTTTAGCAGTTGCGTAAGAATTATGTTCAAAAACCACGCTATTTTGTCAGTTGGCCCGCCAACGCCACTAATAATGGGTCGCACTTTGGAATCGCGCGCATTATTTGAAGTTAATCCTACTGCGGGAGGTTTATGTGTTTTGACCAGTGTGTAGAGGACCGGACAAATGGGCTGATCGTTTTTAAAACTCGTTACTATGCTCCTTGGAAGTCCCGCAGATCGCGCACTTTCCAACCAGACCCTGTTTAAGCGGCGGTACTGCTTTCCAAACTCGCCAACTGATGAGGGTGCGTAGACTGAGACGTCCGACAGGTGTTGCTGGGTTATTGCCATGTCCAGTTCACGTGACATAACAACAAACTCCCCACCTTTATCGCTAACTGAAACTTTGACCAACCCGGCGTCGCAAAGGTCACGGATTTCGCGTAGGCCGCGGCGCTGCGCAGGAGTTAAATTAATGTTTGCGCGTTTTTTGGCAAATTTGTCGATAACGGTGAATACCGAAGTGGCGAAAACGCGAAATTGGGTGTCTACCATGCTGTTGGGCTCTTGTGGCTTGTAATGGAGGCGAGGGAAAGGTATTGGAGGCAAAGATACCGCTGCAACAGATTCGATGCCGTTTGCGCGCTGTTCCTCTTTCCCTCGGCGCCTTAGTGATTCGTGAACAAATTGCAGGCTGCCGACGATCTTGCGTGAGACCCGAGGCCCTATTGATTGGAGTGGTAAGAAACTTGGACCTAGATCCAAGACAGACAGCACGTCATTGGAGATAAGCGTATCACCGATAACAGACACACGTTGAACTTTTGGCACGTCTACAAAGCTGTCCTCAGAACAGTCTTGCTGGTTTGAAGCCAGGCTCGTACTAACTACTTGCGAACTCTGACTTTGTCTAGCATTAACTAGTTTCTCGAATTTCCCCTGAAGTCTAGTCTTGACATCAGAGCGAATAAGATTGCAAATGAGCTTCGACTCACCCACAATTCTCCTCCAAAGTCGTTCAGGCAGAATACGTTCACAACACTGCTCTTTGTAAACACATTTCGACAGTAACATGAACATTTGGTTTTTCTTTACTCGTAGAGCTGCGCGTAAGAGGTCTTGTTCAATTTGTTGACCTCTTCTGCTTTGCTCGGGGAGGCCGCACGTTTCATGGAGTCGCTTCTTGTGGATGAAGTTGGGCGTGACTCGACGTTGAACACAACGGCGAAGAAAGTGGATGCATTGTCTCTCGGAAACAATCTTCTGTCGCATGGAGAGTACTTCCTTTACTAGCCGAAAGCATCTTGCTGGTACGTCTTTCAGTATTGTCCATGTTCGGCTATCCTTGAACCTTGGCATGGCTTGTCACTTGAGAGGTGTGGTTTGAGCGATTGACCAAGATGGTACACAGTTTATTATTGTACAATGGCCTACGTTTCGGCGCTGTCGCCTTCGTCAGAGCCTGGAAGTCGAACTCATCAGAATCTATTCCCTCAGACGTCAACAAAGGACACAGAGTACTATTCGAGAAAAAGCCAAAGAAAACCCAGTCAGAGCAACAAGAGCAATACTAACCTTAGCCAGAAGCAAAACGGAAGTCGAGAGACCGCCGTGTATGCAAGACTATGCCTCAGCTCTACTTATATATGCCGTTGTGACCTGACCTCATATTCAAATCCGGATAGGGATTGATATGGCGCCAGTTCTTTAGTGATAGCGATACACTCCTCCTTTCTGTTCATTTTTGGATTTCTGGCGTTTATCCAAAACGCTTCCAACGTTTTGCGCGCAAGGATCTCGGGTTCGAACGACAAGATTTGCACCGCAATTTGAATTTCAGCTTTATCATGGCGCACTATACGATGATTGCCCAATGGAGTGGCTGCTTTTAACTTATTTAAGCCGTCTATATGTTCTTTAACGAGACAACAGAGAGGGCGGCCCGTTTCACCAATATATATCGCCGCATGCTAAACATGTGATAAGATATACAATACCGGATAGCATGCAATTACTCTCCCTACCAAATGGGCACACCACGCAGTTAGGAGTTGGACAGAAGCGATCGTAAGCACGGTTTCGAACCAATCGCTGTTTGAGATTTGCGGGGGAATATCGACTACCCTAACAACGCCTTGCAGACCCGCCTGATATACGCACCGCCGCACTGCGCTGCTCAGCTCATCAGAGATGAATGGCATGCAGAACGGAATTTCCGCGGTACTGCTCGAATTGCGAGCTCTGCCCCGAGAGCACCAATGTGCTCCCAGGGTGTGCTCCCGAGCAGCATAGCCGATGGAGGCCGCGATTCCCCGAGCGACGGCGATGGACCATGATCGTTCTGCGCTGCAGGAGGATACTTGAAGAGCTGTTTTGTACATGTTACCCACAATAGCTCTCTTCATCCTATTTGGATGCGCGGACAAAGAATGTATGAGGATGTTTTTGTTACTGGGCTTGCGATACCATTTTGTTTTGTACCCTCCGCCTGCAAGCTGAATTTGCACGTTTAGAAACGCTAACCATTCCCCGGAGGGCTTTTCCCTAGTGAATACGATGTTTGGCGACTGTTGATTTAGTATGCTAAAGCAAGTGTCTACCTCCGCTTGGGTGGGACATATGACGCAACAGTCGTCTATATACCGACCATACAAAAGGGGTTTACGCTCCAATACCGGCGCTTCTATTTTAGACATGAAAATGATAGCTAAAGTAGGTGCAAGTCGCTGTCCCATAGCTAAGCCCCTGACCTGTCTTGGTGTTGTACTCGTTTTCCAAAAGCTCAGCACTACGAGTTATTGAGGGCAGCGTTAATAGTGAATAATTTTTTTGGATATAATCAATTTCATGTCAAATAATATGCAATCAAATTTTTTCCCCTTACATATGAATGATACATGACCCAAAAGCATCATCAGTAGACATAGTGTTCAGGCGCATGTATGAAAATCCTGACTGTATGCTATTTCTTCGTTTTCGACGTGAAGATTGCATTCGTAGAGTGATCGTTATTAACACCTTTGACAAATAAGGCAAACACTGCTTGGCGTATGTGCTTGTTAAAGCGTAAGTAGACGATACCATGAACACCTACAAATAGGTAGTGAGCAAGTCTCTTGCGTAAATATTAGGTTGTCCCATAAGTTTTTTCATATTCGGACCTTCAATTCGATTTTTCTCAGGAACTACAGCACCTAGTAGGCTGCAAATTTTTGGCAGTAATTCTGAGCGAATAAGCTATATAATCACCTACTTGCGGGGAATACAGAAGTGATACAGACAAAGTTTGAAAAATGAGCGCATTATTTTTTTTCTTGGTTTCTAGCCATCAGAAAAATGCAACAAGCGCATTTATAAATATCCGATGAGGAGAGTATATGCATGAAAAAATAGGAAATTTGCAGAGCTGTTTTGAACTGAGATATGATGATTTTCGTTTTTTCGGAAATTCGGGAAAATTTTTTATTTTGGCTTGGAGCATGTTGCGGATTGGACTTGGTGCGAACTTTTGAACGCCATCTCGTAGAGCTTACTTTAATCTGTCGAATGGACCCTGCATTTTATCAGGAGTTCAAGAAGAACTGATTTATGTCGTTGAAAAGTCAGGTATGAAAAGACTTATGGGACAACCTAATAGATGTTGTAGTCAGTACTTACCATGACTGAGCTGCCAGACTACGTGCGCTGCGATGACGACACTTCTTGGAACAGCCAATAATTCCAATAATACGTAAAGAATCGCAGTGGCTCCTGTAGATGTACATACAAAGAACACTTGGACAAAAACCTGGAAAAATATATCTTGGAATCATTTTGGAAGCTGGTGGTTAGTGGTCAGAACAATTTTGGATTTTGATTTGCTGAACAGTTACACTTTGAACCTGGAGGTTAACAGAAGAAGTTACACTTTGATTTATAGCAATGCCTACCGGCATATCGTCGATATTTCCGCCTCTACGTAAGGCATTTCTCACATAATAATAGAGGACAGAGTAAAGCGTCACCAACATTATAACTACAGTTGAGTTGTGAATTACCAAGTAAAAGGAGGTATAATGATAGTATTCCTTGAAAAAAAAAACTCTATTAAGAAGTGCTCACTTTCAGTTGTAGATCCCTTTGTATAAAAAGAGGTTTAACCTACAGTTTCGTAATTAGCAATCAGGGGAGTTCCGATGAATGCGGAAACAACTGTGTTGAAAGGAATAGGTCTTAGCACAAACCACACAACAAGCATATAGAGTAAAGACAGAGTCATCCACATATACAAGAGTTTTCCTTCAAAAAATAGGTAGAAAAATTTGTAGACGTACTGTTGAGTTATACCTCGGAAAAGAAACTTCAAAACATTAGCTGCTGGTACCATTTCAACAAATCTGTCAAATGCAAGTATCATACAATTGAACGATGCTCCCATCCACAAGCCTAAAAATGTTTTTTTTTCATAGCTTCCATTGCTACTCTCTACTCACTGTAGACAAGATGTCCAGAAATCCAATCCAAACTTTTAGAAGAGCAAAAGACCGCAACAGTCTAAATTGGAAGCCTTTGAATGCTTGCACGTCATTCTAAAACATGACTTACAAAATGAAAATATGGAGTGATATACGAGCATAGTATCAGGTCTCCAATATCGACAAATCCGTTGTAAAACATGAGCTTATAACAAGGTATTTTCAAAAGCTTTCCGCGGTACATACCAACCATGCATAATACGTACAGAATCTGTAATGCGGTAGTGAAGACATTTGAACTGTGGCAGATACTGCTCAAACAGAGGAGGTATTTCACTCGAAGTAGCCTACCCCACCTCGGTATATAACATGATGACCGCCTTGAAATGCTGATTACAAAGATGCTTTCCTTATTCTTTTAACGATATATTACTCCAAGCTATCGGTATTTATTTGGCCCCAAATGACATTGAATTTAATTGCTTATTGTAGGACTACGGTGGCAGAGTAGCTTTGCAGCTATTCCCATCAATTTTTTATGTACAACGAATATATCTCAGACATTCAGGCATGTAACTTTATGCAAACATTTAATGCCAATTTATGTCATTTAGACAGTATACGAACATGCAAAAATGGAAGCAGAAAAGTACCTTTAACTTTCTTCAGTGAACCGACAAGCAAATATGGAAGAATCTCGAAATCAGCGCTCAGAGACCTTTCAGATACACAACTTATTGGGAAAGCCCACTTTGAATCAAATAACTTCCCTTGTAAGATTTGAAAAATTCAACGATGTCTCATGCTGGAGCAGGGCCCGGCACGAGTCGGTTTCTAGAGTTTTTGAAAACGAAGTCTCCCCTTCTTTCAAAAGTTACACGAAGTCCCCTTTGACGTAACTACTTAGAAAAAGATGAAAACATGTAAGATTTATTAATCTGAAGGAAGAAACGTGAGATAAGAGTAAAAATTCAAGTTGGAGCTGAATACTACGCACGCACAAGAGTTTGGCATTAAGGCTCGATATTTAACAAAGCGATTTACGAAGAAATTAAGGCAAAAACAAAGGAAAGGCAATGATATGTCTTCATGTCAGGGATATATTTTTGACCTGGGAATCCGTCCATGATAAAAAAATTTCGAAACTTTTGTGAAATGACAGAAATATATGCTCCAGACGATCTCAGATGTTCTGGTGACAGCCTGGAGGTGGACTAATTTTGGATAAGGCAATACTTCACATAAGCTTCCAAATCTTTTTGCATAATTCTTTTGCAAATAATTTTCTATGTATACATTACAGTTTTGGTCTCATGTGATTCTGTGTGCGCTGTAAACAAGCAATTTGTTTATTTTAGCCTTGCTTTCAAATCGCGCGCACTTTTCGCCACCATACACGATAGAGCATATCAATCGGTGATAACCTATTCGAAAAGCTTGTATTCGACTAATTGGCGCTTATTCTTGGTGTTCGGCCCCGACTCGTCAATATCTCCTTTTTTGCTCCAAAAACGAAGTGTACCCTGCTTCCAGACGATCCGTGCCGGGCCCTGTGCTGGAGATAGTATACGGTGAAAAAGCATTGACTGGAGAGTTAATTCTTTGGTAGTTATAGTTACTGCTACATTTCTACTCAAGTGGAAAGTATCTAAAAATGTAAATGTTTCAGAGAGAATATTCAGAGAGATTACATTCTTCAAGCTTTTCCGGGTACAACTTGGGTAAGTAATCTCCTCAATATTCCGAAGGATGTATCTTGGCAAGAAAAAGTTTGGTACTCAACAGTGCTGCACCGACCTTACAAGATAGCTAAGGTCTGCCAAAACAAGGATCACACAATCTGAAGGAAAGATAAACGTCATCATATGATTTCGATTGAATACAAATGTAACCACATACAAACAACAGCAATAACTACACTTGCTCTTCGAATTCCCAGATAATCAATGTTTTCGTGAGCTTATGAAATTGCTGATTAGTTCCCAATCATTTTGAGCAATAGAGACTAATCTCGTTGTAAGTATCTCTCCACTATCACCTTTTTCTTTTCCTTTTTCTTTGTACAAAGCAAAATACATTTTACATATCAAGTAACGGATGTACCTACTTCCTTTAAGCACTCAATTTTTATAAAACTACACAAATTGAAAGGATATAATGAACATACCAAGAACAGTGTACCCATCGCTGCAAAATATGTACCTTGGAAGAGATTCACCGACCCTCTGCGCTGCCATTCAGCAGCGGTCCGCAAGCTGCAGTTGTATTCGTCTTCGTCAATAATCCATGGAAGGTGGAAGTAAAAGAAATGCATCAGAGCTGTAAATAATGCGGACACAGGCTTGCTTACGAAGGCCAAGTACGTGACAATATATGAAACAAAGCACACTTTAGAGAAACTTAGGCAGTTTGGCTATATAATGCACGGAAGAAATGACAGTTGTCTTCGCGTTACATGGAAGCTATTGGTTTCTTGCTTAGGCAGCCGTTGGTCACCGAGCATCGCAAGATTGAATGCGCTTAATTATATTGTGAGATTTAATACTAGTACTAAAGCTTCTACTTCTTGAGCACTTGTTTTTACTGGGATATTTAAGGCTCGGATAGAGATGCTCAGTGGTGAAGCTATGGAGATTTGTCATGCTGCCTGTCCTAGTACAACGGGAGCAAAGTGTTGCATGAGTAATTCGCCGCACAAATTCGATATAATTCGAATAATTTGATAATAGACGAACAGAGCTCAATTTGTCTAGAGATCTCTGATCATTGCATAAGCTGATTTGAAAACATTTGAATTAAGTTGCGCTCAAACTAACTGCTTGCCACGACAGGAAGTGTGTTGAAGAAATCAAAAAATAAGTCGACCACATGATATACAGAATATATAAAGCTCTCAGAGTCTCATTAATTTCAAAGCACAAATCCCAGACATCACATATATGCCTTCATGCTTTGTTTATAGAAAGACTCAGACAGCTTGAGTAGCCACTATTTTGGAAAAATTTCAGAAAGCCTTTAGACTTAAAAATCATAATTTTGCTTGCACTTTCACACATACTTACATATGTTTATACCAGTGGTGGTCCCTTTTCCATCCGGCGAGGGGATGCAATTAAAAAAATTTTCGAACAAATGTGCCCGCATTGCGAAAAATTTTCTGGAATGCTTCCGAAATTTTTCGAGCCCATGACACCGAAATTTCAGGAAAAGGGAGTTTTTTACGAGGCTAATATGAATTTCCAAAAACTTTTAAAGCTTCTTTCAGTCACTTGCACATTTTTTAACCCGTATAAGCAATTTCAGAAATTCCGACCAATTCTCGGGGTGGTGGGCTTTACACATACCACATACCTCCCTCTTCATTACCGCAGCAGTGAACATTTATTTCAAAACAAGTGGTTCCTCTAAGCTACTAGATCTTGACGCCGCTTTAGTATATCCACGACAAAAAACTATCGAAATTTACAAATTTTCTGATCAGTAGAATAGGAACTAATTTTCCACGCGTTTGTCCCAAGAAGATCAGCAATCGCAGAGTAAACTTGACAGCATGAACACAGCACTTTCAAATAACATTTGAGGAGAGAGTCTGAGCTTTACAGTCAAATTCCAAAGCTAGCGAAAATACCATCTAGCTTTGTAGCTTGTTACATATAGTCATGGCACATGATGATCTCATTAATACTTCACCTACGGATGTCAAAGAAATTACGCCAGCATCATTCCACTTCGACAACCTCGGCATACACAAACTCTCTTATAAACTTACAGCAAGAAAAGTCGCACCTTTTTTATTGAGCCGCGTCCTATATGCGAGACCATAAATAGTAGGAACTTTCTTCTTTGAAAAAAGTCAGAATCACAAACTGGACTCAGTTTCGATATGCCCAACATAAAAGCTTATCTGATTCTATGGAAAATGCGCTAAAGGTTCAAGAACAAAAAGACAAATCTACCGCAATGCTGCTGCTCTCTGACGCGATGCTGAACGCGAAAAAGTTGTGCATTAATTTATCCAAATGGGAGAAAACATTTACAGAAAATATACGATTTTTAGTGCCGCGAAAGAAATTGGAACACTGCACCTCCGGAACCCCTCAAAAGTTTTATTTTGCTTGAGATTGCTCAGAATTTTTAGATTGGCGTTAGAATAGCCTGTTTCATGGTTTTTTTTTTATAGGTGGCTGCTGTACATAACGAATCTAATTTATACATCTGGGGTCTATATTAACATCAAATACACTCTGTTGCAGATTAGATCACCAAACACAGATGTAGATTCAAGTTCTAACTATGTTCTCGCTTTCATTATGCACAAATAATACAAACGTCCTTCGCTTGTCAGACACATATATTCATTCATGTCCCATGACAGGAAGCATTTAGAATACTAATCAAAGGGAGGATACAAACTGGCAACAAATATACTGGCGCAGCGGTTAAGAGTGCAACGTGATTTATTTGATAAAACAAAAGTGTCTTTTACCAAAATGAAATGTAAAAGCTAAGCTAAACTTTACTTGCTGCACATGAAGTAGCATACACAGTTAAGTTTCTACACATACTGTTACTAATGTTGAAAAGAAATGTACTTTGAATCAACTGACCTTCTGGAAAATGTCGCCACCTTTTTTCTTTCAAGGACCAAACACTGCAAAATATGTAAGATATTGACGTTTCCAGATTCAATTATAGTTATCACTAACCAAGCAAAGCAAATGAGCGATCATCGCTCCAAAATATGAGCGTTCTGAATATCAGGATAACAATGCGCACTCGTGACAGGAAAGTTGGCGAACTTGTCTGCAAACTTCGCATTTATCATAGAAAAATAGTTGTTAAGAGAGGAAGAAAAATTCCTTAGAATACTGTCCAAAATGTTTCCCACTTCAAGTTTTAAGAGGTTTTTAGGAGTTCAAAGAACAAAACACAAAACTTTGCATTAATCACTAACAAGGAAACTACTTTCAGTGGCCATGGCCGTTTGATATGGGATGCCCATCGGTTGCAGCACATTTGAACAGTGATTTCAAATCTGCTTCCCGTTCCTGTGGAACGCTTTTGTAAAGGAATATAGAGGCCTGAAAATCCCGTTTTCGGGCGCTCCTTAAGTTCAAGAATGTATGTACGTTGGTGGTGCAGTGGTGTAGTGATTAGCGCTCGCATTAGAGGCGAGTTATATGGTTTGAATCGGTGGAAATTGGTCCCTTTTGCATTTACATGTGAATTAGATAGGCACCTAAACCGTTTACG